ATTAGATGATAAATTTATGTTGTGGGACTAAATTGAAAAAATATATGATCAAAATGGAATACTTCAAATTTCAGAATGTAAGAAAATAAAACTATGTGTACTTGTCAGCAATATAATTTTCTTCGAAATTGTTGACCAAACTTTCTCCATTCTTCTAGTTGTCAAACTTGGTCAACCGTCAATGACCGGYAATAATAAATATCGATAATCATGTCACGTACACTTTAAACGTTCCATCACGGTCAATTAAACAAAATTATTTGGTTTGACTGTGGACATGAACTGATTAATATTGACGTTGTAATAATTATATTTATTTTTAATTACGACTTTTATAATGTATTCTGTAAAGTGTATAAACGGTGTTAATAACTACTTCAACGTTCAAGCTCTGTATTGTGTTTTAAATTGAATATTGTTTTATGCCTCAGAGTTGTTAGTAGGTACACAATAAATTACAGYCKGTTTGTAATTTTGTTTTGTCTTATGGGACATATTATTAAGCAATATAATAYATCAAAGTGYGATACTGATATAATCGTAAATCATTTGGCTATATAATCGGGTTTTAATTGTATTAATACTTTTGATTGTTTTCAGAATGTTTGATTATAAAATATGTTAACAACAATTTCGCATTATTCTTATTTGATTGACTTACGCATGGTTGAATGRTTGTTGGTTGTACGTATTTATTGTTGATTTAAATAATATTTTAAATGGATACGAAAWTGTATATTGAGTTGTCTTGTATCATAATGTGAAAATAAAAACGGAATCGTATTAATTGAATGTATAATTTTATATCATGATATAAAACAAGCCGGCTATAAAATAATAAGATATACCTACCTAAGTATATATTATAATTTAAATGATAAATGTTTGGTAATAAATCATAATTATGGTGGTTAGAATATTATAAAACTACTAAAATGAAAAGACTCAATGTTTTTTTGTCATAGGAAATAAAAGATAAAATGTAGTATCATTATTTATATTTTAGTGAAGTGAAATACTCGGGTGAGTATTAAAGAAGTCATAAATACAGTCGCAAGTATAACGCACATACAGTAAAAATGTCAGATGGTTCTGAACATTTTATGAAATTTCTCAGGTCTCAGCAGTACGCGTATATGAATTTGTACTTCAATAGTGTATTTTTATGCAATGACTTGTTTAATGTATATACTTATTTATTTCAGTTTTAATTTATTTACGTCAATTATCATACATAAAAAATATTTAATATGTAATGGTGTAACATGTACAAATATAATTTTTAATGTGTACACGTTTATACAAAGGTAGAACTATTTTAATTGCATTTTTCATATTATTACGCTGATTGATAGTTTGTAGGTACAACGTGTTGGTGCATAATATATTATATTATAGTTTKTAAGTTACATAGTAGGTAGCATACTGGATAATGAAGACAAATGTTCACTTTTAAAGTTTTAAACACAGTACCTAATTAAATAAATRCATTTATAATATTATCATCTGTATTTGAAAACATGTATAACATTCCAACATTATGATTCTTTCGAACATTTAATTAATATGTAACCTCGCTCTCGCTATTCGTATTCATGGTATATAAAATAAAAATAAAAATGTTAATTAATTATTAAAAGAAACCTTTTTTATTGTATTTGAAAAATCGTACGTTGAACTGTGCACAACAACCACATGTCAAATCTTGGCATGAACATGGTATACTTCCAAATCGTGCAGTACTTGGTTCATCTTGTCGATCACCAAACCGTTGAACTATCGGTATCTTTTTACTTGTTATCGCATCATAATAAATATCATACCACTTATGGTCTGTGCTTTTGCCTGTAACTAGAAAATGTATGGACATTAATTAATTATTTGATATAATAAATAATAAAATACAGTTAAAATAAATTGTTTAGATTGTTTTGATTTCAATAAGATATGCTCATTGAGGCTTACCTATAATAAAACAAGTTTAAAAATGTAAGTGTCCTAATTTTTCTAGTGTACATATATACCAGTGGCGTAGCCAAGTTGAGGTCTGAGGGGAACTGCAGCCACTACCCCCCCCC